CGGCGGAGCGGAAGCGCAGCATGGCCTCGGTGTCGCAGCGCCTAGCCGAGGACCGCCGCTCGGGCGTTGTGCCTTGGCCGTTTGCAGAGCGGGCTCCGAGGTCTGCGTCGCCCCATGGTGCGGTCAGGAACTTGTGCTTAGGGTGGCGCTTCGCCAGTTCTGGCCCACCATGCTTCGCCGCGACATGCTAACCACGTCTCAGTCCCTAAGCGTCAACGTCCCGAGCTTTCCCCAACCTCCCGCCCTGCGAAGCGGAGCGACACGCAATCCGCTCACAAGGCGCGTGTCGCCGGGGCCGCCGCTGCGACACATTGGGCAAGAGTTCCTGACCGTATCCACGATGATCATGATGATTGTGAGGATGCGGATGGTGAGAGGTCGTGGTCGCCATTGTGCGCTGAACCCTGTCGTCGCATTGCGCCACCTCTTCCAGAGTTCGTTCGCCCTGGGCGCGGGAGGCCTCCGTATGCTGGTGGCTGATCTGACACGAGCTCCACGTTGCATTTCGAAGCGCACGCACTCGGTATCAGCGATTTTGGTGTTCCTTGCCTGTTCGAAAAGCTTGCGTCATTCCGGCGACCCCCAGAAGGAGAGAGGAGCCTATGAAGTTTCTACCAGCGAGTGCGGATTCCTGTGTGCTGTGCTGGTTTATCACACGGCCTCGCTAGATCAAGTTCAGGCGTCCCCGACAATGCCGCGCGCGCGCTGGTCTCCTGGCGAAGGGCGACAGGAGGGGCGCAGAGTGCCGAGGTCGACAGTTTGCGGGTCTGCCGGACAGTGTCCGAAGCAGGGGAGCGGGTGGGGCTGCTCGGAGAAAAAGACGGAAGAGGGCGAGGAGGAGGAGGAGGAGGAGGAGGAGGAGGAGGAGGAGTCGACGAAGCAAGAAGAGATGCGGACGAGGAGCATGCGCAGGGGACGGCAGAATAAGGAGGCGGAGAAGAAAGGGAGGGGCTAAGGAGGAGAGACACGACGATGAGGGGAAGACGCGCAGAGTGACTACGATGACGGAGACGACACGGCGCGTCAGGCCGGTCTCAGCTAGCGCCAAACATCTTTTCGAATCGTGGCGCGGGATCGGAAGCCGCAAAAGGCAAGAAGCGAACATAATGGAAGAAACGTGTGGCAATGCTGCAGGTGTTGGGATATGCCGCCACCGCGTGAGGTTTGTGGGAGGGAGGTTTATGGGACGCCCGTGCGTTTTTAGGGCAGTGTCTGGGGCGCCTCCTGGAGGCATGTTGGAGTATCTGGTAATACTTCTCAGCAGCGTCTTGGAGCGTTTGTCGAGGCATTTAGGGGCCTTTGGGAGTTTCTTGGGGGCCTCGTGGGGGCCTCGCGGAGGGCTCCTGGGGCATCCGGGGGGCGCCTCGGGGGCTTCTCGGGAGCTCTTGGGGTCATCTCGGGGGAAAAGGACTCGCAATGTCAGTTCGTCTTTCCCTATTTGGGGCCTCTCTTGGGGTTCTCTTGGCTTGTCTTGGGGGCTCGTGGGGCCGTCGTGGGCGTCTGTTGGAGCCGTCTTGGGAGCCCCTGGGGCCGCTCTCTCGGGCCGTGTTCGGGCGAACTTGGGACGATCTCGGGAGCCCGTGCGCCGCCTCGGACGCCCTGGAAGCGCAAAAGGCGAGTGTGCTGAACCCGGGGCGATGTTTGCTCTCGGGGCCGTCTCGGCGGTCCTCTGGGGGCAGTCTTGGGACGTTTTGGGCGCGTCGTGGGCCGTGCCGAAGCCAGTTTGGATCGCCGAGGGGCTATCTTGGGCCATGTCGATTCTTGGACAGGCTTGGCGCTTTGTTTTGGCCGTCTTGAGCCGTCTTGACGCGCCTTGGGGCTCTGGAGAAGCTACCGGGGCCCCTGGGGATACGTCTGGGAGCTCACGCCCCCCTGTAATTACAATTACTCAATATGAATACTACTCTCCTCCTTCCCCTGATGACGTGCTGGGAGTGTTCGCCCCCCCCCCCCCGCGTCCTGTTTTTTTACACACAGGATTCCCGGGAGTTGGGTTTTCGCTTGCATTTGTTTCCAAAATGCTGCTCTCGCTGAGGCGCCGGCCTCATTTTCGGGCCCCGCTCGTTCCGAATCGTGCTCCCGCTGCAGCGTGGGTCTCATTTTCGGATCGGTGTTTTGCCTCCGTCGTTCAGGATGGCGTTCTCGCCCCAGCGCGGGCCTCTTTCTCGCGCGCCCATCCGCCCGCCACCACCGCACCGCGCCCCGCCCCGCCCACCGCCACTTCCACCCACCAACGCACGCACGCACGCACGCACGCGCACCGCCACCACCACCCCACTACCCCACCCACCACCACCACGCTACACCGCGTCACACCACATCACACGCGCGCGCACACAGACACACACGCACGCACACACACACACATACACACACACACACACACACACACACACACACACACACACCACCACCACCGCCACCACCACCACCGCCATCACGCACGCACGCACCTGGCCCACCACCAAACCACCAAGACGCCACACCACGTCACACCACAGCACACGCGCACACACGCACACACACACACACACACACACACCACCACCACCACCACCACCACCACCACCACCACCACCACCACCACAACCACAACCACGCACACACGCACGCACGCACGCGCACCACCACCCACTACGCACGCGCGCGCGGAGCCACAGGTCCGCTACGACACGCGTCCGCGGATAGAGAAAATCAGCGCCATGGTAAGGGATGGGAGGGAGGGGTAGGACGTCAGATACGACGCGAGCGCACATAGCTTGCCCTCCCCCCCTCTCCCCCCCCCCTCAAACGGCATTTGGGCTCCAGGGGAGGGGGAAGGGGGGAGGGGGACAGCCAATCATGTCACATGCCTTTTCACCCTCGGCCAGCAGGCGTCGGCTGATTCTCCCTCTTCCTCCACCTTCTGCTCTCCTTCCTTCTCACCTTGAATCTCCCCCTCCTTCTCTGTCTCCATTTCGGGTGGACACACGCTTCGAATCCTTCGCTTAGTCCATTGGTTCGAGTTGGATTCGCATCGACGGGCGGTCAACTGCGGCAACCAGGGAAAGTACAGGTTCGTCAGGTAATTCCGTATTTTATCTCTCCGACAGAGCAGTGCCTGGTGTTTACGCTAGAGCGTTTTGTGTGTATCTAAACGTATTGGCGGGTATTTCCGGAGTTTCATTCGGGAGCGCCCGTCGCCATTTTGTTACAGCCCCGTGGGTTGACGGTTACGGATGCACGCGCTGCGTCATCCATATAGATTGCATCTCATACCCGATGTATTGCACACCATACGTTGCACGGCACAGGTTCCACCAAGTAGTTGTCACCGCATCTTGCACCGCATACATTGAAGCACATATCTTGCACCGCATACGCCCCCCTATCAAATGATTTCCAGATATGACCACCCATGCCGTGGCCATGTTGATAGAGGTGCAGCCGACCGGTATTGATCACCCCACCCGTCATCCGTTGCAAAAGAAATTATGCGGCCCACATTCGTTGAACATACCCGATGTCAACATATGGACCATGCGTGGGCACATGTCGATATCCTCACACAACGATTGTGCTTCATTGTTTGTCGACAACAAATCATGGTGATGTTCGCGGACACCCTTTGCAATCAGAAGAACGCGAGCGTTGTTTTTGCCAACCTCTTAATCGAAATCGTGCGAATCACACACGCGTGCGCATGTTGAATACCTTGAACCTTGAACAATCATAGCGCCCCCTCCAATTCGGTCAAACATTACCGTGCGGACCGTACGCGCGAGCCCCCGCGCGCGCATGCCGAAGTCATTTCAAAACAATTGGAGTTCGAGGCCTTTCAACACAGAGTTCTCCAAACCCAGATGATACACGTATGGTTTTCCGATCAGACATCTGCCAGGGTTTCTTCAGGCGCGCACTTCTTCATCAAACTCATCAGCGCCATTGTCATCATCATGGCCATCGCAACTATTGCCCTCGCCATAATCGTAATCATCATCATCATCATCAGCAGCAGCAGCATCAGCATCAGCATCAGCATCAGCATCATCATCAGCATCAGCGTCATCATCAGCATCATCATCATCACCATCATCATCACATTCTTCTTCATCAAAATCATCACCTTCATCTGCGTCATCATCATCATCATCATCATCATCATCATCATCATCATCATCATCAGTATCAGTATCAGTATCAGTATCAGCATCATATGCGTTTCCACCACCACCGACTAACTTCGGACACCACCTGCCATCCATCCTTGTAGCTCTTGCAAGTTGTTACAGCGAATATGCGCGTCGTTTCGGCGAGAGTCAGATTTCGGAAGCCACCGGCCCCTGATGGAAGTGGTATAAACGAACGCGCGCGGCGCTGAGGCCAGCGTCGCATGCTGGAAACCGCCGGCCCTTCATCGATGCAATTGTTGGGAGGTTGTCAAACGAGTGCGCGCGGCGCTGAGGCAAGCACATCGTGTTGGAAACCAATTGCGCTCCATCCTCACAGCTGTTCGGAAATTTCAGAACGAGGATGCGCGGAACGCCCAGCCCGACCAAGGGACACGTCGGGTGTTGCGACTGGGACGGGCTTTAAAACAAGGAAGGGGAGTGGTCAGAGGAGGGAAAGATACAGGTGCCGCTGCTCGTCCTGGAGAGGTCTCGCGCCACGGCTAGATTCTCAAGATCCTGGCCAGAACGCGCCCTGGGAGAGGTCTGGGGAGTAGCCGTGTCGGTATGTACTGGCTTCCCCACAAGGGGTATCCGTTCTTCCCCCCCCCCACCTTCCTCCTCCCCCCTCCCCTCAGTATCGTTTAACCGATCCCCATCCCCATCCCCATCCCCATCCCCATCCAGACCCCACCATCTCATCCCCCCAGTTGGGAGATTTCCCCTTTGAAATCTGGAAACTGCCCATACCCCCATCTAGGGGGGCAAATCGACCAGTGGGATCCAGGCCACGCGAGTGGGGATAGGGATCGGTGAAACGATACTCCTCCCCCCCTGCCTGGCGCAGCCGCTCCTGAGACCTGATGGCAGTTCCGTGTCCTTGCCCGTCCCCGGCGGCGCGGCGCCATGAGCGCCCGCCAGCGTGCGGCCAGCCGTGGCGCTCTGCGGTGCCGACCGCCCTAGGGGCGGCACCCAGAGGGGGACCCTTCGGAGGCCCCCCGGCGGTGTGGTGGCGAGTCAAGGTCACCGTACGGTTTTGGGACTCGAGTCTTTCTCCGGGGATGTCGCGGGCGACAGGGGCCTCTAGGGTCCCAAGACCGTGCGGTGACGGACTGTGCGGTGAGGTCTCTTGGGGTTCCGAGGCCACCGCACGGTCTGTGACCACACGGTTTTGGGACCCCCAAGTCCTTCTGCCTCGCCATGAGAGGCGTTCCAGAGAGGGCCTCGCCTTCGAGGATCGAAGGGGTCGGCATCTCTGCCGCACCTGGAGCCGGCGGACGTAAAGCGGGAGCGGCTCCGCCAGCGGAAGCTGGCGGAAGGAAGAGCTGCGCCTTCGAGAGACGGCAACACTGTTGGATTCGGGGCTTCTGGAATGCAGCTAGCGGGTCTCGAGGTAAATGGGTCGTGATGTTTTCGCTGTCTTCAGTTCTTGGAGGCCGTCCTTGACCCCAGTTCAAACAGCAACTCAGGGACAGCAATTCGTCCCAGAGGAAGGCCCCTGGGCCCCCGGGTCCAAGGCCCGCTTATCTCATGCAAATTTGCTTCCAGTCACCCTCCCCTTTCTGGCCTCCACCGCTCGAAGAGTAAGAAATTGGGTGAACGAAGCATTTCGGAGGTCCGCGCGGATTTCTTGAGTCGGCGTTGGGACCGCTCATGCGGTGCCGCCTCTGGTGCACTCCGCGCGCCGGGGTAGGGGGTCCAGCGCCGAACCAACGATTCCGCGCGGCCCTCAGCAGAGTGCGTGCTCTTGCGACTGTCTGCTCCCGTACCCCAGTCCCAGCGCCACACGTTAGATCTCGACGCAAACTGCACCAGGCCCGAGAGTCTTGCGGCGGCCGCGAGCGCATGTTGGGCCGGAGCGTCCTTGTAACGCCAGCGCCAGCCCCCAGGACCGCGAGGTTTGGTTACAAAGTGGCCTGCCAGCAGGTGCCCTGCGAAAATTTGTGATTCCCACGTGGGCCTGGGGTGCCCACGGAAAGACAAGGGCACCTCAGGAAGCTCAAAGTTTGACGACAAGCGTCTCTTTCGATTTCTCATAGCAATAGGTATTATCACATGTGCCAGCTGCATGCGTACAGCGAAGCCCCGAGCAGGCCCAGAAGCAGCGTGCGATAGAAGCCTCCATCCATTTTAGCATGTTCGACCACAGTCTGAGATCCAGTACCCCTCCTCGAAGCACGCCGTCGCCTCAACCACCCAGGGCAGGCCTCCTGGGGCGTTTGTGATGCAGCTCCAAGTTTCGGTCGCCGTGCGGTGTGGCCTCCGCCTGTCGTTACGCCGCCCGGGACAGGCTTGGGGCCGGTGTCGGTCGTTGCTTAATGGGGGGGTGCTGTAAGTGGGAGGGGGGGGGAAAGAATGCTGTACCTTCTGTGCGTTTCAGGGGCCCTGAGGTGGCCATCAGGGGCCCAACAGTGGCACGAAAGGTACACGTTTCTTCGCCCCCCCTCAATTCACCGCCACCCCGTGAAGCAACGCTTGAGGGTGGGTGGTGGGCGTTTGAGTCAGGTCGATCTCGGGCCTTCTGCTGCCATCCGCTCCGTAAACCGCCAGAGAGCCAGGTCGAGCCCCCTCGAAGCCCTGGTGGGCGGCTGCGGCGGCTGGGCTGTCGCTTGCCCTCCTCCCTTGCTTCCCGTGCCGCGATCCCTCACGTCCCTTCTGTGGCCGTCGCGCCCTCTCCTCCACCACCTCGCCCCCCCCCCTTCCTCCGCACCCCGAACATGGGATGCGCAGCAAGCCTTATGACTCTGGACATATGAATCAGCGAGGCGCGCAAAGCGTCGGGGGGTTCAGGCGCTGCCTAGTGCGATTAGGCATAGACCTCATTCAGTCAGGTGCGCTGGTCCTAGCCATCCGCTGAGGAGCACCCAGGATGGGGGACCCCCGCGAACGATACCCCAAGGACCAAGGACAGTGTGACACTGATCTGGGCCCCAGGGGGGAATCTGAGAGGCGATGGGGGATTCAAGGGAGGGAGGGGGGGACGAGAGGAAATGAAGGCGGGCGTGCAGGGGGAGGAAAGGGGGCGCCCTGAGAATGAGGAGGAGGAGGAAGAGGACGAGCAGGAGGAGGAGGAGGAGGAGGAGGAGGAGGTTGGCGATGGTAGCGAACAATATGAATACGGATTTTGAGCGATGAGAAGGAGGATGATAATGAGTGGGGTGCGGCCTAGAGGGACAAGGGAGGGGACGGGGAGGTGTAGGCATAGGGGAGGAAGGAGGACGAGGAGAGAGGGGAGGACGAGAAGCCCCGGCCGCCGCTTCTCCGTGGCTCTGGACTGCAGCTCCAGGCCGCATGGAATATTGCGGTGCAGGCGTTACGCTGTGGTTTCGCGCATGACAACCCGGCATCTTGGCGGCCAGGGCTGAAGCAGTGATTGAGCGAGGCAGGGAGGACGGATGAGACCGAGGAGGCAGAGAAGGATGAGGATGAGGATGATAAACGCTGAGGGGGCAGGAGGAGCAGGAGGAGCAGGAGGAGGCGGAGAGGGACGTGCAGGAGACAGGGACGGAGAGAAGGAGGGAGGGAAGGAGGAGGTGGGGGGATGCAGGAGGAGGAGAAGGAGGAGGAACATGTGCAAGCAGGACGGGGAGGAGGACGAGGATGAAGATCAGGAAAGGTTCAGGAGAAAGTGGGGGAGTCGGGGCAGGATGAAGAAGGACGAGGAACGAGGAGGAGGAAAAGGAGGAGGAGGAAGAGGAGGAGGGGGTGGAGGAGAAAATGAGGATTATGAGGGGGGCGTGGATGGCGGAGGAGGAGGAGGAGGAGGAGGAGGAGGAGGAGGAGGAGGAGGAGGAGGAGGAAGAAGATGATGGAGGATGAGAGGGATGAGGAGGGAGAATAAGGAGGAGGAACATGGACGAGGACATGATGAGGATGAGGAGATGGGAGTATCTGCAGGCGGGAGGAGCTTCAGCGACAGCAGCCGACAGGATGAGGATTGGGATGATGATGATGATGATGATGATGATGATGATGATGATGATGATGATGATGATGATGATGATGATGATGATGATGATGATGATGATGAGGATGAGGATGAGAGGAGGAGGAGGAGGAGGAGGAGGAGGAGGAGGAGGAGGAGGACAAGAGTGCGGGGGATGTGGAAGGAGGGAGGAGGAGCACCAGGGAGGCGGAAGAGGAGGAGGAGACGAAGGAGGGGAGGGCAAGGAGGAGGAGAAGGGAGGACCAGAGAGGCGGAAGGAGAAGAAGGAATGAGGATGATAGGAGGGTCTGATTCGGAAGCGCGAGCAAGACGAGGGAGTAGAAAGAGGAGGATTTGGATCAGAGCAAATTCCATATGTGCCAATGATGCTGCAATACACCCGCTCGTCCACCCCCCCAGACGCGCCTACGCCCCATGCTCGTGGCCTTCCGTTCAGGCGAGTCGCGACTTCCCGTTTTGTGCAGGACCCACCTTCCATCCTTCCAGCCATGAGAAGTTCAAAGCGGTAGGGCCATAAAGTTCCAGGAGGCGTCCAGCGAGGGTTCCTTCCCGAAAAATGTGTATGGCCTCAAACAGAGCAGGCGTTGCACACATTCCAAGTTTTTGTCATCAGGTTCTAGGAAGTACCAGGCGAGAGCCCCGCGCAAATAGGAGCCGGCATCCATGTGTGTAGCTGTTGCACAACTGCGATTGCGGGCTCTAGGGTCGTACGAAATCTCAAGCGTGACCTCCGTTTAGAGAGGCACCAGACCTCCATCCGTGTACACGCGGGTTGTTGAAAGTAGGTACGCCTCCCTATTTCAAGAGTGGAGTGGTATTCCCTCTTCCATCGTCCTCGGCTGGGGGTCGGGCGGATGCCTGATCTACTTCCAACGTCTTTATACTTCATGCTTCTCCGACCGACTGTTAAGTGTTGCAGGCCGTCATGGCGCAAGTGGGCGACCCGAAGGCGAGAGTCCCACATTGAAAAAGGCCCCGCCACCACTTGTGTAGCTGTCGGGTCTGTTTAAGACGACTGCGCGCGGCGCCAAGGCGAGAGCCCCAGTTTGAAAACGACCTGTGCTGCATTCGGAGGTTCGAGTTCATCCGTTGTGAGGAGGTCTCAGGCGGCACGGCCGGCCCACCGACGCAACTGGTAGTGCGACAGGGAGGAGTTATCTATGACGGAGCTTGATGGAGGAGGAGGAGGGGGAGGAGGAAGAGGAGGTAGAGAAGTCAGGGAAAGAGCAGGCGGCAGAGGAGGAGGAGGAGAAGGAGGAGAAGCAACAGCAGGCCAAGGTCCTGCCACCCTCCATGGTCGCTGCGAACTGATGCGCACGTCAGATAGGGTCGACCGCGGCAAGGCTCGATAGAGACCCCATTGCCGGAAGGGCAGATAGGTTTCGTGAGAGCCGATCCGCCGCCTTCCCAGCTCAGTGTTCAGCCCGGCGTGTCTTGAACTCGTGGTGGCCCGGACCGCGGGTCCACGATTCTTCCATCTAGCCGGCCTCTGTGAAATTTTGGGTACGGTGGCGTTGACATTTTGGGGAGTTCATTTTCCGTCAGCCGGCTTCCGCCGACCTTCCACGGACATCCACCGACAGCGCCACCAATGGTTTTTTGTTGCAGGGCTCCATTGGAACGAGCATCCGTCGACCTCCCGCTTCCACAGAGGCGAGGCCGGTTTCGGAGCGCCTTGTGTGAGATGCTCAAGCGATCCCGGGCAGGTGCTGGTCGCATTGGTGACGCGGGCCGCTCCCACGGGCGCCTTGAAGTTCCACTCCAGCACGGCCCAGGTGCGGAGCGCCCCAGCCCTGGTCACGACTGCGTGTGTCAGGGAGACGCGCAGCAGGAATGGGTGCGGCGAGGGGAGCGGCCTTCCGAGGCAGTGCAGGGCCTCTCAGAAGCCCTCCCGCCTTCGAGCACAGAAGGTCCTCCCCCGCTTGCGAGATGCCAATGCTAGCACAGGTGGACAGATATTCCCAGCCGCTTGAATCGAGCCTTTGTTTTGCCAGAGCGTATTATTGGGAAGGCCTTGCGGCCGGTGCCGCCGACCCTGAAGGGGGAAGACGACCACGACGGCGGCGTCGGCGGCGACGTCGACACTGACGTGGGGCAGCGATGCTTCGTGGGGCCTCTTCGGAGCACGCTCGTAGGCCTTTGGGGGGCAGTTTGGGGGCCTCTTGGGGGTATCTTGAAGGCCTCTTGGAGCCTCGGGCGGGTTACATCGGGCTTCCTGGGGGCCTCTTAGGAGCCTGTTGGGGCCTCGTGGGGGCCTCTTGGGGGCTTCCTTGGGCCTCCTGGAAACTTCTCGGGGCCGAGGGCCCGAAATGTTCGATCGCACTCCCGTGTGGGCACCCTCTTGGAGCTGTTTTGGTAGCCTCTTGGACCGTCTAGGAGGCCTCTAGGGCCGTCTAGGGGCCCTCTTGGGTTGTTTTGGGGTCGTCTTGGATACCCCTTGGGGCCTCTTATGCCGATCTTGGTGGCATCTTGGGCCGTCTCGGGGCGTCGGGAAGCCGAAAAGGCGAGAACGCCAGAATCTTCCAGAATCCCTAAAAGAAGTTACATACTTTTGCCTGTGGGCCCTCTTGGCGTGCTCTTGGAGGCCCCCTCGAGCGTCTTGGATGCCGCTCGGGCTGTTTGGAGGCCACCTTTGGCATCTAGGACACTTTTTTCTGAGGTTCGGGGCCCTCTTGGACCGTCCTAGGGGCCTCTTGGGCTGTCTTGGGGCCTTTTTGGGCCCCAGGACCCCCCCAGGGGATTGTATTCTGACCTTGGACCTCCCCCAGGACCCCTCCAGGGACCCCGGCTTCCCTTCGACTCAGCTACGACGTTCCTTAATTTCCTCTCGACTGATTTCGGTTCAAGTACAACTCAACTACGACTTCGGTTTCGCGTTGGCTGGCTCGCTTGAGGAGGAGGGCCCGGTGAAAGGGGGGGAGCGGCGACGAGGGCGCCCCAGTGAAAGGCAGGGGAGCGGCGACGGGCCAAGGGAAAGGGGGGTCAAACGCGGGCAAACGACGACGGCAAAGACGGCGGCGATGACGGCGGCGACGACGTCGACGACGACGAGTCAAACATGATAGCGTCTCACACACGCCAGCCGGGTCGGCGGATTTTGCTTCGCGGCGCAAGAAGTAGTATGACTGCTGATGCTTCTGCTCCTTCTGCCCCTTCTCGAACTCATTATCGTGTTGATGCTGCCGATGCTGTCGTCTCGGAAACGCTTGATTCGAACAGTTTTTTGGGTCCAAGCACATGATTTTGCTTCGGGGCGCAAGAGCTGGCATGTCTGCTGATGCTCCGCCTCATTCCGCTCCTTCTCGAGTTCATGCTCGCGCTAATGCTGCCGATGATGTCGCCGCTGCTGCTGCTGCTCATGTTTCCCTCTTTGACTTAACTTAATATTCGTGCTCCTCTTCCCTGCCCCTACACATCCGAGCAGGGCAGCTGCACCCACGCTGAACAAAGAGGGGGAACAAAGAGGGGGAACAGGGCAATGTGGAAGACGAATTCGAACATGAGGATTCCGAGGGGCACGATGGGAGAGGCGATCGCGACGATGATGGAGAGGCGAACGATGATCAAGAGGAGGCGAACGGAAAGAATTATGATGGAGAGGAGGCGCACGATGATGGAGAAGGGCAAAGGGAGAGAGGTGATCGCGATGACGATGGAGAGGAGGCGAATGGAGCAAAAGAAGCGCGCCGCCCACCATATTTGCCAGTCCTGGGCTGAGCTGTACAGATGCGGCTCAGACGGCCAACAACCAAAATATCCCACCCAGACAGTGAGAGAAATAGTGCAAACGCAATCACAAGTTCAGTGGAACAGATGCAGTGGACAATAAGTATGTTTGTCGTCACCGCGTTTCAGCGTTTTCACAACACCCTCCGTGAACCTTCTCAAGCCGATCCCGACTCGCATGCTAACCCAGTTTTTGTAAGACCAAATTCAACCCATGATGCGCAGTGCAAAAAGTACAGACAAGTAAGCCTGCAATGCCAAAGCAACAACTTGAAGATCCAAACGAAGCACAACTGGTGCACAAAAGCATGCGTGTCAGCGTCATCGCTGCGGTTGGCGCCTTGGGTACCACACCTTCCCTGAACACCTTCAAACCTCTCCCGACTCACACGTGAAGCTAAGACTCGTAAGCTCACGCTCATTTCAAGATGCGCAGAGAAAAAATATCAGATCCCCAAACAGCTGCAATGCTACGAAAACAGCGCAATCAAACATGTGTTCAGCGTCATCGTGGTTGGCGCTTTGGGCACCACCACCCCTATGAACCTTCTCAAACCTCCCCCGCTTCAAACGCGAAGCCAATACTGAGAAGGCCTTACGACCGGTCCCGCCGACCCTGAAGGGGACGACAAGTCTTCAGGGATGCTTCTTGGGGTCTATTCGGAGCGCTCTCCAGGGCCTCTGGGGTGCGGTTTTGGGGCCGCTTGGGGGCCTCTTGAGGGTCTCTCGGGAGCCGCTTCGGGGCATCTTGGGGTTTCCTGGAGGCCTCGCGGGGGCTTCTTGGGGCCTCTTGGGGGCCTCGTGAGGGCCTTTTGGGGCCGCTTGGGTCGAAATGTCCGGTCGGGTTCCCCGGTTGGGCACCCTCTTGGAGCCGTCTTTGGGGCCTCTTAGGCCGTCTTGGGGGCCTCTTGGGCCGTCTTGGGCTTTCTTGGGTCGCTCTGGGGCCCTCTTGGAGGCGTCTTGGGGCGATCTTGAGGGCCTCTTGGAGCGTCGAAGTTTGCCTCGTGCGGCCCTCGTGGGAGTGCTTGTGGATGCCTCTTGGGCCGTCTGGAGGCTATCTTGGGCGTCTTGGACCGATCGTTCGGCGATTCGGGGCCCTCTTGAACCGTCTTGGGAGCCTCTTGGGGCACTCTTGGCCGCCAGGGCCCATCTTGGGGCTTTTTGAGCTCTGGGACCCTTCAGGGGGGATGGGATTCTAACCTTTGACCCCTTCCAGGGAACCCCGCCAGGACCCCCCCCCTCCCCTTGGACCTCCCCGCGACCCCCCGCCCCTGGCGGTGAAGGGATCAGAGGGAAGGGGCTTCATGGCGTTAGCATCGCAGAGCGGAAGTCGTTCGGAAAACAGTGGGATGGGCCCGGATTGTCCTGGAGAATTGTGTTCCGGATTTCGAAGTGAATTTCATGCGGATTCTTTGGGGCCAAGAATGAAGACTACAAGAACATCCCCGTGAAATTCACTTCGTTCTCCGCTCGCCGCTTCGGAGTTCTGCAGTGACAGAAATCCACTCACAAATCCGCAGCCGCACGTCTGAAAGGTCGGTGCAGTGCGACGTGATCAATTTCGCTTTGGCTGGCGCGCTTGAGGAGGAGGAGGAGGAGAAGGAGGAGGAGGGCCCGGGGAAAGGGAGGGGGAGCAGTGATGGCGACGACGACGACGACAAAGACGAGTCAATTGAAACAGCGTCTCTCGAGAAGCCACTGGCAGGCCTCTCGCACACGCCGACAGTGCCGGTGGACCTTCACAAACCTCTCCCGACTCACTCGCGAAGCCAAGAGTCCTAAGCTGAATTCCGGTCACATTGCGCAGAGCAAACACATTCATCTCAAATGCGAAATGCACACATGACATTTGTCCAGTGTCATCGTCGTGGTTTGCGCTTTTGGCACCACACCTTCCCTGATCCTCCTCAAATCTCTCCTGGCTCACACGCGACACCGAAAATCCAGATCCCAAGCTCAAAGAAGGAGCCCGCAGCTGTCTCCCCGTTCAAATACATTGTTTCCTCCCCAGCCCTCCCCCTCTCTGCGTCCCCGCCGCTCTTCCTTCTCACCTCCCCTGGGAGGGTGCGTGACCCAGCCCCCGCACGCCAGAGCCTTCAGGAAACGTTCGCAGGCCTTCGCCCAGGACCCTCCCCCGCTCCCCTGCCTCCTTGCCCCTTCATCCCGCCCCCCCTGTCTTTCTCTCGTTAAGGGCTCAACGACTTCTGCCGTCTCTCGATTCGCGCTGCAGCGGGCAGGATTCGCTCCACATTTCCCTGGAGATTTCTGGATTTTCTTGGATCTACGTGGATTCACCTGCATTTGCATCGATCTATCTGAATGTGCCTCGCTTTATCGTGTTTGATCCCTGCACGTCGATTGGCGATCATTCGTCAAGCCCCGAGGGAGCCGCTTGCCTTGCCCATTTTCCCAAGACGCCCGGGCACGCCCAGGTTGAGGCGAGCCTGCCGTTGCTACCATACCCCGCCTCCGTGCAGGCGGCGCCGCCCCCCCCGCCCCTCCCCACCCTGGCTGGCCGGCAAGGCCGCGTGAGGAGTGCGGGGGCCCTGGGCCTGGCCATGGGGCTTCCCCTGGGGAGCTCCGAGGGCACTGCTCCCAGCGCGTCGCAGGGCGGGCCTCCCGCCATCAGCGGAAGCCGGCGGCAGGCCCGCGGGGAATTGTGCCTCGGGGTTGGACGTGCCAGGCCCGTTTTGCAGGTGCACGTTTTTCTGCAGATTCTGGCAAGTTTATTGAGGGTGGGGTGGAGGCGACCCCTCCTCCTCCTCCTCCTCCTCCTCCTCCTCCTCCTCCTCCTCCTCCTCCTCCTCCCGCCTCCGCCTCCGCCTCCGCCTCCTCCTCCTCCTCCTCCTCCTCCTCCTCCTCCTCCTCCTCCTCCTCCTCCTCCTCCCTCCTCTCTCCTCCTCTCCTCCTCTCTCCTCCTCTCTCCTCTCTCCTCCTCTCTCCTCCTCCTCTCTCCTCCTCCTCCTCCTCCTCCTCCTGAGCTTCGTGCCCTCCTCCTCCTCCTCCTCCTCCTCCTCCTCCTCCTCCTCCTCCTCCTCCTCCTCCTCCTCCTCCTCCTCCTCCTCCTCCTCCTCCTCCTCCCTCCTCCTCCTCCTCCTCCTCCTCTCTCCTCCTCCTCCTCCTCCTCCTCCTCCTCCTCCTCCTCCTCCTCCTCCTCCTCCTCCCCCTCCCCCTCCTCCCCCCCTCCTCCTCTCCCTCCCTCCTCGCCCCCCCCCCCCCCCCCCTCCTCGGGTCGCCTACGGCCCCGGGGGAAACTGTCCAGGGTGGGAGACGTGCGGAGGCCCGAAATGAAATCTGCACTTCACGCAAGTCATGACACACGTGCACGCACTTTCGGCCAAGCGCTATTTGAGAAGGCGGCGGAGAAGGGAAGGGGGGAGGGGGGAGTAGCGAGTGCCAAGCGAGTAATCAGACTTGCTTGATTCTGCAGAACAACGCCCTCCAGCGTGGCAAAGGCCCAGGGGACACCCGGGCGCGCAATTGAGCCTTCGGGGCATTCCTCAGCTTGCTACTTTTGCAAGGGGCGGGGGGACTGAGGGAGGGGTGTGGGAGCTCTCGACCTGTCAGCATGCACCTCCCTGGTCCCCGCCCCGACCTGGCAGGCTTTGAACTCGCGCCGGGAATGTTGGTTGACCAAGAGGGGTCTTTGCTGGTCCGCCCAGCCCTTGCTTCCCTTCCGCACCAGGCCGCCCCACATCGCTCGTATCCATATTCTATATGAGCTCTCGGCGGTCCGACATACCAGGTTCGCATCGCATCAACAGTTTGGGCGTTGGGCGTTTGACGATCGTTCTTACTGTGCAGCGGTTCGTAAGGAGCTGGACAGGGTCCTTGGCTCGACGTTTAGATTCTTACGCGCGCTGTCAGCAAGTAACCGCGAGAAGTTTTTAAGAACCCCCCCTTCCGTTGAAACGATAACGCTTCCGGCACCCTGGAAGCGTTACCTCGGCACCAGGAGGGCCTCCAGAGGGCATTTGGAGCCTTGCAAAGCTCTGCTAAGCACTGGCTGGGCCCTGCTAAGCTCTACTACGCACTGCTGAGCCATCCTTGGACTCTGGCGCTTTTCCCTCCGCAAGCGCATGCGCAGGATCTTAGCACAGGTCCTTGACATTCCCTGCGAATTCCTTTCTTGGCCCCATAGGGGCCGCCACCGGTTGGGATTTTGTTTTGTTGTTTGCGCGCGGTGCTAAAGGTATCGCTCCGCGAAAATGCCTCCGTGGAATATCGAATAAAATGGCGGTGCTAACATAACCCCGGGGGGTTATTGAATACTTGTTCGGATTATGGTCAGTCTGCCAACAGCATAACACGCAAGAGAGCCAATGTGTGCATCTGGATGCTTTCAAAATGATGGTCTAGTTCGATTCTCCTGCGAGCTCACGGCCATGAGCTTTTGCCCTCGGTGCCGAGGGAATTGGCAGAGCTTGCGCGTAATATGACCTGTTGCCGCGTTGGTTCGCAAGGAGGCCTGATGCAGCGGGGGCGTCGTTTCGATTGGTCACGTGAGGCTTGGGCCCCATGGGAGGAACATATTCACGGATCACCTTCAAGGATGTTCTCTGTCCCAGCTCTGGGGCGATAAACGCAACACAGTGCGTACGTACGCCCTTGAAGACGCCACCGCATGGGCTTCCGGGACCCTCGCGTTCCCCGCCCTCGCCCCTCCGAATGCCGGCGGCGGTTCGAATTTGCTGCACGCGATCACGGCAAGCCCGGGACGTTGGCTCTTCGCGGCAAGGGCCATACCGTCTCAGTTCTTCTGGAGTGCCCCCGGGCTGCCAGTGATTCGATGCTCGCCGCTGGGAGCTCTGTGCCTCCTTCCCTCCTTGCGTCCTTCGGCCAACTGTCTTCACTCGATTGGCGCGTCCTGGTGTGCAACGTTGCGGGGCGCGTCGATGCACGAGGCCCCAGGCTACACGTGACGATCTCGAGCATGTGATGGCGGACAGACAGCGCTTGGCTCGCATGCCGACTCAGCGTCTGCCTTCGGGGATCGCCCCATTCAAGCTCTGCCGAGGGAGGGCGAGGGAGAGATAGAGAGAGAGAGAGGAAGCAATTCATACATATAGAGGGAGAGAGAACAAACAACAAAACGAGAGAGAGAGAGAGAAACAAAAAAGATAACGAGAGAGAGAGTGAGAGAAGGGTTCGCAGCGATGAGAAGAGCCAGAGTTCGTCAGGCCCCGCGGCTACGAGCGCCGCGCGGGCCAGCCTCATAGGGAGGGAGGTGCTGAGTGTACGGTCAAAACTCGTAGCAAAGACGCACGGTTGTCCTTATGGCCCCCTTGCGTTCTTGACTCTGCGGCCCGTGCTTCGCGGTTGTCACTGGCCAGCCCCCAAGGGTGTTAGATTCCGGCCGCCCAAGAAGTGCCACCTCGGCGTCCAAGGCCCTTGCGTTTTTACCGGCCGTCCTTGCGATAGGTTTGACTGTATGTTGCACGGGGCGGTGGGGTGACCCCCCCTTGGCGCGGCCCCGGGGACCGGGGACCCCATTTGGAAAAAAAGGCGGCAGCGGTGAACAGGCCGCTATGGGGCCGTCTGCGCCCTTGTGGCAGAAGCGCTGCCTCTACACGCTGGCGCGAAACCCACTTAGGACAGTGAAAGGCGCCGCCTTGGGACGACAGAGGTGCCAACTGTGCACGTGGCTCGCGCGCAAAAGTTTTGTTGCTCGCTATTCGTTGCCGTGCAGTTTTGCATGAGGGCGTGCCTGCGGTCCGCGCATTAAGCGGTCCCGCTGGCCTGGTGGTCGTCACTCCGCGGCTGGCGGCCGCCCTTCTCGGAACCCTGGTGGGCCGAGTGGGACGGTTGGCTGCCTTGGGCGTGGTGGGTGGCCACCGCGCTCTGACCCACCTGGTCGTTGGCGGGATGGGCGCTAGCTTGTGCAAACAGGGTGGCCCACAGCAGTGTTATTTTGGTAAGGAGGTGTTTGTGAGTGGGGAAGTCGTTATCTTCCTCGTTGTTGAGAGAAGCACCGAGCACTAGCGGGCCAAGGCCCCCACCTTCGAGGTCGTCCGTGGGTGTGGACAAAGGGTCGTCGAATTCAAAACGGTCGGGACATGGTGGCCCGTCTTTAGGAAGTGGTTCTCCTTGTGCGCCTGAGCCGTGCCCCCCTCCTGGCCAATGCCCATCGGGCTTGGTACCATTTTAGAAAGCTCCGACCTGGAGCATCCCGCTCCCCAGTGAGGAAGCGGAAGCGTCCAGTGTCGCAGGCCATCGATGGCAGCGGCCGTGTGGCGTGTAGGACAGCGTAGAACTTGCGTCGCGATTTGGCGGTGTCCACTCGTTGTTGGATGTTCTAAAGCCTCGCTCCCGAGGTGGCGAGTTCGTCAGCTTGCCCGTTGAAAGACCCAGCGATCTGATTGTTACGCCCCTCGTTGACATGTTGCTCCCCAAAGTGGCTTTCCTTTGTTTTTCGGATTCTGAACAGATCGGGTCTTGCCAGGAGCACCTGGTGAATGTTCTGCCACAGGTCGGTTTGTGGCCCCACGCGTTGGCATGGTTTTCGCATGAACAGGTCTTCGAACCTGTCGACTACCGCTTTGTCATCGACGAAGAAGTGCACTGGTCTTTCGGCCGTGGTTACCATATGGAACGCGGCAGGTGTTTATGTCCGTTGCGCGGTCTGAGCCAGCCCGTGGGCGCGGGCAGAGTGGTTGAGCTTGTGGTCGGGCCTGTAGCAAACACCGAAACTTGCCCTGGCCAGCAAGGAGCGGGCCTGGTTGGAAGAAGCCGCTTCCGTCGCCGCGTGCACCCAGTTGGCTCCGTGCTCAATGGTGTACTCTCGGAGGGATTCTTCGTCTAGGTCCCCTCGAGGCGGTCGCGGGATAGGCTGTGGGAGCGCATCTTTGGCCAAGGCAGCCTGTAGATCGAGTAGGGCTGGGACTTCCTCCTGCAGGCCACAGTGCCTTGCGTGTGGTGGGAGATGCTGCCATTGCTGCTCCGTGGTCATGGTTTTGAGGGCACCACTCTGGTATTCACAGCACGGGCATATCCACGACGTATGCTCTTGGGTTTCTTGGTCACACCGTCGGCACAGGGAAGATGTTTCAGCCGAGATGCCAGCCTTGACTTTCCTCTGCTGGTCGTTGTCACCACCGCAGAGGCAATTACAGAGAGACCGAGTTGCCAGGCAGTACATGTGGCTTTCTCTTTGGTTATGGAGAACTACGCATTGGCAAAGTAGTCCAGGCCCTGCTTGGTGGCGGCGGCGACGCCGAGGTCGTGTCTTGTGGTTGGGGCGCTTCGGAGATAGGATCTCCATTGTGCGGCCCCTGGTGTGTGCGTGTGAAGGCCCGCTGGCTCGTGGCTCCATGTGAGCCGGGTGCAACCATCATCGCGCATGGTGCCTAGCTCGGACCATGCCCAGTCGAGTTAAGCAACAGTTTGCCAAACTCTGCCGACGGGTCCTCCCACATGGAGGGCTTGCACGTGGCCATGCAACTCTTTGATGTTGGCGTTCGGACTGCTGCCTCCCAGC